GCCAGGTGGGCAGGGAAAGGCAACACTGGGCCTGTGGAGGCCTTCCCCTGGCTTACCCAGCAGACGGTCCTGTCCTGTCTGAGTACCAGAGCAGAGTGAGATGAAGACGCTGGCCGGGGCTGACATGGGCGGGACTCCACAAAGCAGCCAGTCAACCCAGCCAGCGTCTTCTGACTGGCAGCTCAGGCAGCCAACTGATTTTGGCAAGCATAGAATGTTGGGAAACGAAAACACAATTATATAAAAGGAGAGATTTGCAACATGGATTGCTCCATCTCCATTTGAGAACTATCACTGAAATCTGATACATTTATTCAAGACATGCTATATTTCAGGTCTGAATACCGGTTCAGACCCCACCCCACCCCAAATGTCCATTTTCCAAGGATGGAGGGAAATTCAGTGCTGTGTGAAATCTCCCTTGGCAACTGAAGCAGCAGAGTAGAAATTTGTGTGATTGTTGAGGACATCTTTTTGAGTGTCAGAGGCAAACCCCAGCTCACTTCAGAGTGGTCCATAAAACACATATAGTACCTCGCTGGATGATTTGGGTATGTTGGAATGAAAGGCACATTCAGGACCAATTCTGCTTTTCACATTCGAATGGGAACTCAGCCCATGGATATGTTTACCAGAGGGCCAGGAATGATCCAGGCCTCTCATGCAGTATGCTGGTTTATGAGTGATAGCCTGTAATTAAAAGGGGTTGGATGGATCCTATACACTTTCCACTTGTACAGCTTGATCCCCACTCCAGTAGTCCTCTGTGAACCTCTCGAAAGTTAGTGCTAGGAGTTTGTTCTGGAGCCATCCTTCCTGAGCAAAGACAAAAATGTTTGAGCCGGAGGCTAAAAAACTGTGAGCTAGCTCACACTAACTCAGCTTAGAGGGAACACTGTTTGGATCCTATAAACTTTCCACTTGTACAGCTTGATCCTCTGTGAACCCCTCAAAAGTTAGTGCTAGAACTTTGGGGGAGCTTTGTTGACAACAAGCCATGCAGCATGGAGGTATACAAGAAAAAGTGGAAATTTGAGAAGATTACCCACCCCTCCCATGCATGAGGAGAATAGGACTCCCAGAAGGCAATGCACCCAGTGGACATTAAATAGAGCCTGCAGTGTTCTGTGGTGGCTTTGCATACATTCTGCCAACATTGTTGTTACTGTTTGCTTCCATTTGTGAAGTCTGTTTATACCCATGGCCTAGAGTGGCTGTGTCTGTGTAAGCAGGCATCTGCTTATTGCATATTTTTGCTGTCCAAAGAAGCCAGTAGTAACTACTCTCACTGTGTGTACGCTCTGTCAGAGGGAAAGCATGAAATGTCCTTTTCATTGTGGGTAGTTGCTGAACGGAAATTTTTTCCATTGGAATGTGAAGCTCCCGCTATTTAGACTATTGCAACAATGAGATGTTCGGATTGTGCGTGTCACAGTTACTTGCTCAGAGGGATTTTCCACCACAACAGAGCCCCTTCCCAATTGCTTTGTTCTGTCCTCCCACCTCCCGCAGGAATTTTAACAGCTGCCAAATGTCTGGCAGGATTTAGTAAAGGGTTGTATTCCTTCCTATGTTAGAACTAGTTTCCAGGATCTTAAAGATCCAGGATTTGGGGGGGGGGGGGGGGAGGGAAATGTATATTGTATTTTTAGTTAGTTTGTTTTTCCCCTATTTAAACCCCCACTGTTTGTCTTGAAGTCTGTTTGGAAAATGAGAGGTGGTTAACACATGCAAGGCAGTTGCTTTTTTATCTTCCTCGTTTTATTCATTTTTATCCTTCCTGTGCATGGAATCTCATAATGAAACTTTGGCACAACCAGTGCCATCCTCTGATAGCAACCGCCAAACCATTTCCACTGTAGCTGTGACCAGAGAAAATGCCTGTGTCGTTGCAAAATTGTCTGCTGCAAACTGCCCTTAACTGTGCTTGTGCACCTAGAACATAAGGGAGATTTCCAAGCAGCAAAATGTCCAAATCCTTACTCATGTCCTTGACAGTGGCTCAAAACTTGTGTAGACTGGAGGTATTGCATGTCACTTCTCCTGGATGCAGGACGACTATAAATAGGGTTACAGTAATCTTTGTTTATGGGTTTTGCAGCATTGCTTCCGCTGAAGTCAGCATCCAGTCTTCCCATTGACATTAAAAAGAGCAGGCTCTGTCCTTAAAAAAATTCAGCATCCAGTTTCTTGCTGAGAGTTTGTTGGCCACTATAATGACCTTGGAAGGCATAACTTATGAGCAACCCACATAGTACAGGACATTTATTTCTCTTTCCTGTTTCTGCCCAGCTTGTTCATGTAAATTAAACAAATATTTGTTGACATTCACACTTCATGCTATCCAAGTTTAGGTAAAAGCTGAAAAGCATCTCAGGTGTACATCTAAATAAGAGGTTTTTTTTAAAAAAAATGGCCTGTCATATGGCATGCTTTTGATATGCACAGACTTTTCAAAATACAACCCAGGGGAAATACTTGTATGCACATGCTTTGCTGAATCACCATGCTCTTTATTGCATTGATATAAAATAAGCTGGGGACCTGTGAGGAATAGAAATATATAGTGTATATATTTATTTAGAAAATCTGTATGCTGTTTCTTCAGAGCTGCTTGAGGCAGTTCACACCTATGAACAAACTAAGCACACAACAAAAATGATTAAAAATCATAACAAAAACCAAATAAACCTATTGAAGTATATAATAATACCAGTAAAAATCACCACTAAAAACAAGCTGAGGCATAAAAGCACATCAGACAAGAAGGTGGTCTAAAACGGTGTTAATTAAACAGTACTGAGGCTAGAATCCAGCCATAAAATTCTACCTCTTGCTCCAAAATCTCCCCCTTCGGTCTTCTTTACGTTCTCAGGGGCTGGAGCAAACTGAGTCCTCCTTCGTAGCTCTTTTTTCTGTTTAACTGATACCAAATTCTATCTCTTATGGAGAACATTAAGTAGTTGTCGGGCCAATTTTTGAGGGCTTTCTCCCTTTTTGATAAATTTACAAAGTAATTTTGTTCTGCTTTTGTGGAAAGTCTCCTCAAGCATGTTGAGACTCTTGCCTTGTCTATGCAGCTGTGTGCGCAAAGGGGATGGCAGATAGGGATGGGCAACTAACTTGCACAGGACCCATTTTATACACTCCTGAACCTGCGCCTGTCAAAATGACAGGCAGTCATTTTGACAGGTGCAGGTTCAGGAAGGTATAGAACAGATCCTGTGCAGGCTAGAGACACCAAACTCACATGGGTCTCCAGCTGATTCTCCTCTACCTGCCTTCCAAGTTTGGTGAGGATTGGATTTACAGAGCGTGACTTGCAGCCCCCCCCCCAAAAAAGAATGTGCCCCCAGGAAAGTGCGTTCTGTGGAAATGACAGGCAGTCATTTCCCCAGAAAACACTTTCCTGGGGGCATCTTCTTTGGGTGGCCCTAACTTAGACACTGTAAATCCAATTCTCGCCAAACTTAAAGGGCAGGTAGAGGAGAGTCAGCCATAGATCCACTGAGAGTTTGGTGTCTCTAGCACACTGGGGGTGTGGGGGGCGTTCTACCGGGTCATGAACCAAACCGGTTCATTTGGCCCCTAAAAGTTTGTGACAGCTTGTGGTAAAGCAAACCAGGCATGCTATGAACTGAACCGCATTTTTCATGCCTATCCCTAATGGAAAATTTACTATTGGGTATAGTGATTTGTGGCTTAGTCACAAAGCATTTGCAGAGTGTACATAAGTATCCAGGTTCATTCCCTGATTCCCTGACATCTCCAGTTAAAGGGTCTCAAGAAGCATGAGTTGGGAAATATCTTTCTCTACACAAGACTCTGGAGAGCAGCTGTAGAAGAGTATTGATCCAGATGCCCCAATGGTCTGACTTGGCATAATGAAACTATGTTTTCCCACATGCTGAATAATGCACTTTCAATCCACCTGCAAATGATCACTGAAGTGCATTGAAAGTGAATTGAAAGTAGATTATTGAGTGTATGTGAAACTGCCCTTTTAATAAGAGTATAGTAGAGAAAAATAAATTGTACAATCCTGGTTTGATTGCCATTCTTTTCACCACTGCACTGGGTGAAAATTGGTCTTATCTCATTTTTCTTGTGAATTTGTCCAGCTTTAAGTCTCTTTTTTGTTATATTTGTTACTGTGGATGGAGGTAAAATGTCAAAGCAAAAAGACAATTGTCAGCAATTGGAGTACGAAAGCATGTGTTGTAAGCCACCCTGAGCCAGCCATGGCTAGGAGGGCGGGATATAAATATAATAAATAAATAAATAAATAAAATGTGTATATCCTGTTCAAGGGACCTCTTCCTGAGCCCTTTAAAACAAATGGCTTCTGTGCGGCAGCAAAACTTGATGGATTGATTTTATGGTTGGTTATTGTTCTTTCCTGCCAACCTAGCAGTTCGAAGGCAAGAAACTGCAAGTAGATAAATAGGTACCACTTCAGTGGGAAGGTAACAGTGTTCCGTGCGCCTTGGTGTTTAGTCATGCCGGCCACATGACCACGGAAACGTCTTCGGACAGCGCTGGCCCTTCGGCTTTGAAACGGAGATGAGCACCGCAACCCTAGAGTCGGACTCGACTGGCTTTCGAGCAAGGGAACCTTTACCTTTACCTTTATTGTTCTTTCAGTATGAACCTTTCAGTATGAACTTTTGAAGGGGAAGAGGACAGAGCTGTGTAGTGCATTGTTGCATGGATTCTACACACACACACACACACACACACTTGTTTTGGTTTTGGTTTTGTTTTCATTTCAGTCCCAATGTGAACTGAAGAGCTAAGATATGAGTCCAGTAGCACCTTGGAGACCAACACAACTTTCAGGGGTATAAGCTTTTGAGAGTCACTGGGTTACTGGACTTGAATCTAGCTCTCCTACTGGAGACCCACACAGCTACTCTACACCAATTATCTTAATGGGAGAAGTCTCACGTTTGCCTCTTTTTGCATTCTTTACTTTTTAGGGACATTCCAGCTATATTACACACCTTGACTGGTCCCCAGAGAATAAATTCATAATGTCAAATTCGGGAGACTATGAAATACTGTACTGTAAGTACAAAATTGTATCCACATAGCTGCATGAGCAATGTCAAAGGGGAAGCGGCGGTGGCGGGGAGGGGAGGGGAGAAGCTGATGCAGGCTGAGATGTTGGTCCTTCACGCTTGCTGACAGGGAAAACTAGCATGACCTTCTGTAACCTGACCTTCTGATATGATTCAGAGCTGTTTCTTACTTAATGGTGCTTCCAAATATAGCATACATTTCCGCAAGGGCATCAATCACTTTAACAGTTTACAGGGAAGAGCTCATGCGATGTGTCACGAAACAGGCTCTGAGCTTTGAAAATGTTAATAAGCCTGCCTAGTTAGAGACTCCTGTCAGGTACTGTTGGGGATGCATGTTGACACTGTAATATCCTGTCATTTAACAACAGTATGTGGCTCAAAGCCCTTTGCATATGTACTGACTTATGCAGGCCATTAGCAGTCTAGGGGCTTCATAAACCTCTTTGTCTGTGCTGCCTGCATGGGGCTTTTAAAAGTAGGATGGATTGGGGGAAGAGTTATCAAACCCTTGGCAAGGCTCAGTACATGGCTACTGGGCTTCATTCAGCTTGGGGAGGTTCCACATTGTCTGTGCCTTGCATATGTTATCTGGGTCATTGTTCCCACAAGCCATCTAAGCAAGGCTCATGTTTGATCATCCAAATGAGAAAGGGGGAGAAAAAGAGTGGCTCTTCATAGGCTACCTCTGAGCTTATGACCGAGCTGAGATTAGAGCCATTTTTATACATGAAAGATGCTCTGCAGGATGCTGGCATTGTTGATCGTTAGCGCCCTGAGTAAACTCCAAGGTTCCAGAACAGTGTTCAAGAGCAAGTTAGAGTCTGGCTTTGACTTACAAAGTCCCAAAACTCCCTGGGGTGCACAGGTGATGCACCTCTTTGTTTAAGCAATACCCATTAAGATCAGTGAGAGAACCACTCCTTTGAACATCAGATCCATAATTAATGCCATCTATGAGAGCCAGAAGCCGGGGCTTTTCAAAGGTAATGGCCATAACCCTCTCCTTTTCTAAGTGTCTAATTTTAGAGATTTTGTATATAAATAATTTTATGTTGGTTTTTATGGCCTTGTAGTATTGTTTTTACCTGTAAGGCACTTCAAGCAGAGGCAGCATATAAATTCCCAAAATAAATAAATATGATATTTAACCCTACCTCTCTGCAAGTGGCATGCAAGACGCTGTCAAAGAAAACGATACACAGTGTAAACAAAAAGATGATTTAAAAGACCAGCAGCAATCAGTTCCTAAAACCACAGTAGCAGCAATAATGTAATACAAGCCAATGTTAATGTCCATACATCTCCAATAACTGCAGCAATATTACAATCAGTGAAAGTTATTAAAACTAATAAAAGGGGGAATAGGCTGTCAGCTATCAGATCAATCAGATCACCTGAAGGCTTGGAGAAAACTGTTTTTGCCTGACGCCTGAAGCTGGACAGGTTTAGTGGAAACCAGTGTGGGGTGGGAAGTTCACTGAGTGCCACAGCAGAGAATGTGCTGTCTCTTAATACAAGTGGCAGCACCCACAATAGGGCCTGTGATAAGGTGCTTAGCGGGTGGGCAAGTTTTTATATATTAAAAGCCACATTGAGGTGGTCTTGTATAACATACATGGTTTAGAATTAACACATCCTTTCCCCTTATTTTTGAGTTGTGCCAGGCTTTGCTTAATCTGAAAGACAAGCAACTAGTATAACAATGCATCCTTTTTTGTGTGTGTTAGAAATGCACTGTGAGAAAATATGCAATCTTGGACTACATGAGTCTGCGCCTGATGAGTTTCAGCTCTCTTTAAACAAGCAAATGGCAGAAATATTTCTGGCATTTTTTATGAGCTTTCTCCAACCCTAGTAAATTTGCTTTGGCCTGCCAGTAGTTTTGAGCTTTCAGATGAGAATTCAAGAGGCAAATTTTAAGTCCCAAAATGTACAGGCTGAGATGCAGGAAACCCACTGGGATATAACATATAACATTCCGCTTCCTAATGAAAGGATTTAAGGGCTATGAAGTATGGGGACTCAGTAATGGCCATTTACTCCTGTGAGAAAAAAAATAGCATTGCATTTCAAGGTGCATTTGGGATGGGAGGCAGCATCTGCCTCTAAACCTGACAATAGGAGGCAACATTTGTGGGACTCATGGGTGTTTCCTTGCATCTTGGTAATGGGCATTTTGCTTACAATATAAGAACATAAGAGACGCCAATGTTGGATCAGGCCAAAGGCCCATCCCGTCCAACACTCTGTGTCACACAGTGGCCAGAAATACCAGTGCCATCAGGAGGTCCACCAGTGGGGCCAGGACATTAGAGGCCCTCCCACTGTTGACCCCTCCTCCCAAGCACCAAGAAGACAGAGCATCACGTGCCCCAGAGCCCCTATCTATACCTTGTGGCTAATAGCCACTGATGGACCTCTGCTCCGTATGCTTATCTAATTCCCTTTTGAAGCCGTCCATGCTTGTAGCCGCCACCACTTCCTGTGGCAGTGAATTCCATGTGTTAATCACTCTTTGGGTGAAGAAGTACTTCCTTTTATCCGTTCTAACCCGACCGCTCAGCAATTTCATGGAGTGCCCACGAGTTCTTGTATTGTGAGAAAGGGAGAAAAGTACCTCTTTCTCTACCTGCTCTTTCCCATGCATAATCTTATAAACCTCAATCATGTCACTCCTCAGTCGTCGTTTCTCCAAGCTAAAGAGCCCTAAGAGCCTTAACCTTTCCTCATAGGGAAAGTGTTCCAACCCTTTTTATCATTCGAGTTGCCCTTTTCTGCACTTTTTCCAAAGCTATAATATCCTTTTTAAGGTGTGGTGACCAGAACTGCACACAGTATTCCAAATGAGATCTCACCATTGATTTATATAGGGGCATTATGATATTGGCTGATCTGTTTTCAATACCCTTCCTAATAATCCCCAGCATAGCATTGGCCTTCTTTATTGCAGTCACACACTGTCTCGACATTTTCAGTGAATTATCTACTACAACTCCAAGATTTCTCTCTTGATCAGTCTCTGCCAGTTCAGATCCCATCAACGTGTATTTGTAGTTAGGATTTTTGGCTCCAGTGTGCATCACCTTGCACTTGGCCACATTGAACCCCATTTGCCATGTTGACGCCCACTCGCCCATCCTTGACAGATCCCTTTGGAGTGCCTCACAATCCTCACTGGTTTTCACCACCCTGAACAACTTCGTATCATCTGCAAATTTAGCCACTTCACTGCTTACTCCCATCTCCAAATCATTAATGAACAAGTTAAAAAGTAGTGGACCAAGTACTGATCCCTGCGGTACCCCACTGCTTACTACCCTCCACTGAGAGAACTGCCCATTTATACTCACTCTCTGTTTTCTATTAATGAGCCAGTTTTTGATCCGTAAAAGGATCGAAATAGTTTCAGAATATTGAATAGAACAAGGGATAAGGGGCCAAAGAGGAAAGAGAACATTTAGGATTTAGGCCGGGCTGAGCCGAAGCCAAAAAAAAAGCCAAAGAACAGCGAGTTCCCACAATTGGGTGCCGGTAGGGCAGTCCCCACCCCTGACGATGTGGCCATAGATAGGGATAAATGAAATTGTGTAAGCTGCTCAGAGACCCCCCAGGGGTTCGAGCGGGATACAATTCGAAAGCATAAATAAATAAATAAATGTTATCCTTGATAATCAGTATAAGTAGCTTTAAATTCTGTTAGCATCAGTTGTGAGTAACAAAAGAGACAAGCCTAAAATGATGATCTCAGCGGCTGAAAGATGCCAATTCCTAAATTCTAGTTTGGGAGGCTCACACTGGGGTATTTTACCAGCTATGAGAGCTTAGGAGCATCAGACATGTCACACTTGTGTTTGTTTGCACTGGAAAGTTATATGTGTGCATTGAATTCTGAATGCCATGCTATGGAAAACATCTTTTTCATTCCACTAAGATAACATCTCTCTTTTCCTTATGAACTTCCTTATGATGGTACGGTCATATCTGGATTTAATCAGATTATTATGGGCTTCTAGCTTTGGTTATTCTCCAGGTAGCCCTTAAATCTTAAATGAGCTCAGTGGATGTGAGAAAAGTTCACTTTCAGCAGGCCCCACATTGCTTCAGTACCGATTGTATGAACATGCTAAACATTATGCAAAAAAGAAAGACAGAATCCCTCAGCGGAGGTATATTTTTCCTCCAGCCACACATCAAGGAAGGTGGTTAATAAAGTACTCTCTAGGCTTATGTAACTCAAAGATGCCAAAAACTATTAGAGGCTTTTAATTTCCCCACTGTCTAAGCGGGGGGCAGGGACCACATGTGCTTTTGTTTTATTTCTGTCATGTCTGGGTCCTTCCCTCAGTAGATGATAGATACAGTATAGCATAAGTTGCTGAATCTTCCTTCGTTTCATAGCAAGGCTGCAGTGGGCCCTTAAGCATAAAATCTGAACTTGGTGTCAAAATGTTCTCGAATCAGAGGACATCAGTACAATCAAGCGCTTTCAGATAAAAAAAATAATCTAAACAAAAACAAATGTCACTTATTCATGTAATTTCATTGCGGGTTTTGCAATCTTTTTAAAAGGGAACATTCCAGATGGCTGTAAACTAATCAGGAATCGTTCTGATTGTAAGGATGTAGATTGGGTAACATACACTTGTGTGCTGGGCTTTCAAGTATTTGGTGAGTTCTGGCTTTCTTTTAAATGTTACTGTTTGTGAGTTTAAAACTGTGGTGCTTTGGGTTTAGAGGAGGATTGTGTTTATCATTTAAAAATATTTTGCAGAGTTTCATCTTGTTTGACTTTTCACAGTGAGGTGGAGATACATTATTTAAATATTATTATTTAATTACCTGCAGAGCAGTTGTGTATTATATCTTTTGTTGTACTTAGTACCCATGTAAACACAATACTGCTATTTTTACAAAGTGTACAGTTTGCATTCTGTGTGTGAGAAAGAGAGAGAAAGAGGTAGAGAATGCAGGCTGATTAACACAAATACCATGTACAACAGTCAAATATGAGTTGTGAGTTCTCAGTTCCCACTTATGCAGTGCCCAGATCAGATCAGGGCTAGAATATATATGGCAAAGCAGGTTCAATAAACATGTACCCAAGGACATGTGGGTTTCCCAAATGGAGGAAAGAAAGAAACTACAAGTGTAAACAAAAGTAATAAGAAATATGTATATACTAGGAATAAGGCTTGTTGTGAAAATAAATACAACGAGCTCTAGAAAGAGGCTCGGTGAGAGTGTCAAGGCCTTGGGTACTCAGCATCAATTTACTATGGTGACCTCCTCAAACCCCACCCTCTCCAGGCTCCACCCCTGAAATCCCCAGGAATTTCCCAGCCTAGAGCTGGCAACCACATCCCATTCCCAGCTAACCATCAACCTACCATTATCTGCCCCTCTGACTGCAGCTGACTTCTGCCCTCCCTCCCAGAGATCAATTGTAGTTCTAATTGATCTCCTCCCCTCACCTGGAGATTGGCAACAATGGTTCCCCAGGAGGGAATGGCTGGTTGAGAGAAGAAGAAGAAGAAATTGGATTTATACCCTGCCCTTCACTCAGAGTCTCAGAGTGGCTTACAAAGTCCTTTCCCTTCCCCTCGCTACAACAAACACCCTGTGAGGTAGGTGGGGCTGGGAGAGCTCTGAAAGAAACTGCTCATTCAAGAACAGCTCTGACAGAACTATGGCTTGCCCAAGGTCATCCAGCAGGTGCAAGTGGAGGAGTGGGGAATCAAACCCAGTTCTCCTAGATTAGAGTCCACACACTTAACCACTACACCAAACTGGCTCTCACTGGAGGATGGCGTCTATGGCATCGTACCTGTCTGAGGTCCGACCCCTCCTCAAACCTCACCCTCTTCAGGTTCCATCCCTCAAATCTCCATGAATTTCCCACCTGGAGTTGGCAACCCTAACTCCTTCCCAGCCAGTTATCAACCTACCTTTATTTCCCCCTCACTTTTCAGCTCCTGTGGGTGTATCTCACTCCTTGAGTTCGCTGCCCCCACTCACTGAATTGTCACTGCCTTTTTAGAGGGACAGTGAGACCCCTCTGGCCAAATCTCCCTATTTGGAGATGGAATCCCCAATCTTTGGGGAATTCCTGGAAAGTTGGCAACCCTAGGGTCTGGCCTTTCCTTCTTTGGGTTACCCCCTTCCATTTGTTATTGTGCAGAGCAGAGGAGACTATGTGGTCAGAGCACTACACAGATTAGTAGCCCAAATAAAAGAATTTATTTAACTATTTACACAATTATGGAACACACACACATTCCCTACACACAACACTCTCTCTTCCTCTGGAGTTTGTGAGCTCAGGATAGGATCTCTCCTTGAACCGGCCTCTGGCTCTGCTTCAGGCCAAGCCCAAGAGAGCAGGGAAACTTCCATTCATTCCCCAGTCAAGTCGACTGTGGAGTGGCTGAATCTCTGCTGCTTCCCAGGGTTCCCCCACGTCTGTGGCGTGTGGCCTGGACAACCTCGTCAGCACAGGCAGCAGGAGCATTTCCTAACCTCCTGTAGGACAAAGACTGCCTCCTCCCTGAATGGGCTGGAGTCTATATTGATGCTGCCCTGCCCCTTGGGACAGTCTCTCTTTTCCCGCACTTTTTGACCTTGAGGCAGCTGGGAACTGTAGACCAGCAGACGAGGAAGCCCCATTCAACCCAGTGAGTGATACCCCTGCAAGCCCCTATCTGGAACTACAGCTCAATTAACCCTTATGGGGGAACATTTTAAACAAACAACCACACAGACTGCAGCCATTTTACAACTGCCATTTCGTTACACCTACCAACAGCCACTAAGGGAAAAGTTAAGTCCTACACAGGAGGCAAGCAGGAGAAGTGTCTTTGTCAAGAGAGAAAGCCGTTTGCAAGTAATTCTGACAGGGCAGAGTGGCTGAAGGGAGAGTGGGCGGGGAAGAGGAGCAGACCCAGCACCCGGCCAATGGCACACGAGTGCTCTTTTCATGTGATAAACACAAAAATCCAAAAGTGTATATCAGTTATCACAACAATATGTCCCATCAACACTTCAGAAAAGCTAAATAATAACAGTGCCATATGTAGTATGTGACAGTATCAAAAATACTACTTAAATACACATCTGAAGGTTACAGGAATATGAAGATTACATAAGCTGCATAAGACAAGCTCCCAGGTACTACTCGTTTTGAAAAGTAATCTTCAGTTTGTATTAAACCTTCCCATTAAGTGTTTCATGTATTGCCACAGAAATCTTGACTAAGAATTAATCAGAACCATTTGCCATTGTGGCAATGTGAAGAGAGATAACGACGACCCATCTGAGAAGATATTTTTTTCTGAAACCAGTTGCCTTCAGTTTGTAAGGTGGACAGATGTCTTTGATTTCCCAAATGGGCCAGATAGCCCCCACCCCGGACAGTTCCAGGTCCTGAAAACATCATGAGGGGAAGGTCATATCTTGTTCTCCATGCACACCATGATCCTCATCCAAATTTGGCACTGTGCAAGGAGAAATCGAAGAGAACCTGCAACTCATATCTGACTGTTGTTTAGAGTGGGGACCTAAGCCTAGCTTGTTTATTAACGGTGGATCAGCCCATGCCTCTTCTAAGATGCTAACTGCTGGGGCTTCTGGTTGCATCTGAAATAGAATGCTTTTTTGTCCTGCTGAATTTAATCTTCTTAATATGCAACTTTATCCAAGTGTAGCCAATTAATCTAATAAGACTCATACACTTTACTAAGATATTTAAGCAGGAGATAGTCCTGATTTATTTATTTTCTTATTTTGAAGGAGTGTGGCCTGAAGGATCAGATGGAACAGATATCAATGCTCTTGTCAGGTCTCATAACAGGAAGGTGATAGCAGTTGCTGACGACTTTTGTAAAGTCCATCTATTTCAGTATCCCTGCTCCAAGGCAAAGGTATGACTGAATGACCTGGTTTATGGGACAACAGTAGGACTGGATATAAAGGAAAATGCCTGTGCATGAGCACACTCACTTGTATTTGTGTGATCTGAAAGTATAATTATTCCAGCATTACATAAGTACAAACAACAACTCATTATCCCTCTTACTTTCATCTAACATGTGTCCGGTATTTCATCACGATACTGTAAAAAGGACAGCTCATGGTATAGTGCATTAGTTTGTAAGATGGTGGGTAGCAAGGCTTTTGCCTGTCTTCTTTTTTCTTCTTCAACCAACGCTGCATGTCCATTCATTGTAACCCACAACTGTTGCATTAAATGTTGTTAATGGTGTTATTCTCTCCTGTGTTTAAATATGGCATAACCATAGCTAAAAAGCCAGAAATCTTCTTGAAAAGTTATTTATTTTTCACTGAGGTTGCTCAGAGAGTCAATTAAGAGCAGTGATAAATGTATTAACTACAGTATGTACATGAAGGAGGGGACAGTGATGCTGCTTGAATTCAAGTCCCATCGGATCTATCCTAAGAGTGACTAATGTGGGTATTGATGTGTGCCAAGATGGTCAATGTTATGTATTAAAGTATTTATATCCCACAGTCTCCCTAAAGTGCATTTTAAAGTACATATGGAGTACCATATGGTCATGTAAAAGAAGCTTATATAGAGTTTATCCTTCATCTTTTAGCAGGCATAATTCACAAAGATATATGATTGGATTAATTTTTTTAAAAAAATCTGTGGGCTCCAATTAGAGAAGGAGGAAAGTGGAGGAGCATTCTTAACTCCTGGTTAAACTCATGTTGCTGGGACATTGACATGAAACCACTATTTAGTGAATGGATTGTTCTTTACCAAATACAAATTTTCATTTCCTGTTTTGTTTCAACAGGCTCCAAGTCATAAATACAGTGCCCATAGTAGCCATGTGACAAACGTGAGCTTCACTCATAATGACAGTCATTTGATTTCAACTGGAGGCAAAGATATGAGTATCATCCAGTGGAGACTTGTGGAGAAAGTAACTTTGCCACAGAATGACATTATGGTAGACATGGGTACAACAAAAATGCCAGTAAACCCCAGTGAAAGCTTTGTACAGCCAAGCACCTCTGTTCCCCTTACTCAGCCATTTGATGAAACAATAGTTAATGAAAGTGTAGTGGATGCCTTCCCCGCATCTTTGGAAGATAATCTGGAGCAGACTGTGGAAGCTAATGAGGAGCAAAGCGAGGAGCAGAGTGAAGGGAGCAGTCTGGATCCAGGTGAGCCAAATGGTGAAGATCCATCCAATGAAACAAGCGAGGAGCCGAGCGAATCCACTATTATCGAAGACCAGCCTGAAAACTCTCCAGTGTCTTAAAAGCTCAGAATCAAGATGGTCTTTTATGTTTTTTTCTCTCAGTGTGAGTACTTTTGTAAAAAAGAAGAAGGTTAAAGTTGGGAAGGAGAAGCAGCCCCAAATTAGGAGCCACTCCAGTTGTTGGGTTTCAGTTGAAGACTTCTTGGTCTGATCTTATGTTTTCAGTGCATGGAACCATTGCAAGGGAGTCACCTTGGCAGTTCCAGTCAAAACTAGACAAGGTGGTAGGATGTAAGCATACATTGGATAAAACTATGAAATTGTTATCAAAAAGAGGAATGATGCAAATAATGGGGGAGGAGGGGGGGAAATTAGCTCCAATAATATCCTTAATGGGAGGAAAAAAACAGTCTTCTGTACAAAGAATCTTAACACTAAGCAGAAGTGCAGAGTAATACATCCCAGGTGCAGGGAATAAACAAAACAACAAGGCCTTTATGGAGCTCTTCTTTCTTTTTTTTGTACTAAAAAGAAGAGGGGAGATGAGGACAACATCATAATAGACTTGTATAGTAGGTGGTGCTCGCTGCCTTCTTGATCAATACCTATGCAATTTTTTGACACTACTAAAGGCTCTGGACATGCTGTGCCCTGGATGCTCTTAACTCTAAGGCGACTATTATTAAAGGAACACGCCTTCTTGTTCCCTGGTGACAGGCCTTAAAAAACTGAAGTGAACTAAGCATTGCTTAGGTTTAAAAAAAAAACAAGTGTCAACCACATTATAAGAATGACCTGTTTGCCTAGATGTATTGAAACTCAAGCGCACCCACTGTGACCTTGTAAGAACTGTCCTCCATGTGAAATGACTTTTGACTGCATGGTGACAAAGGTTCTGATTCTAGAGTTAAAAACTTTGCCTTCAGATGCCAACTCCTTCCCTCGATAAGAGGCTAAACATTAGCAGGATACCGTTGTAATGAAATGTGGTGCTTGGGATAATTCTTATAAATCAATCATGGAAACTATTTAGGGGTGACTGTCAGAATACAAAAATTTCAAATAAGCTTTTTTCCCCTACAGCCTCTATTTAATAACTGTATTATCAATGTCACGTTAACTTGGATTCTGTTTGATATTTGGGGGTTTTCTGTTGTGTGTTGGATTTTTTTCTCTTACACAGTTGCAGTAAGCCATGCAGCTCTGAAATGGCTAGACCTGGCCAGTTATGGGATATCATGGCATTTTGTTTAAAAAAATTAAAATTAAAAGGACTTTTAATTTACACCACCAAAAAAAACCCCTCTATGCTACATTTTTCTTAAGAACCTAGAGTTTTCCTTTGTGGGTTTTTTTTTTAAGTTTGCAGACAAGAAATTCCTACTTGTTTATATTTTGATTACCTAGGGTCTTTTTTTAAAAAATATATTGTGCTGATATTTTAGGGTTTAGTTAGAAATCGTGTTTAGAAAATTTGGATGAGTTTGTTAAGTCTTAAGTGTGCAAGCGTTTACGTGATTGTGCCATTCCAAAGTGCATCAGAACTGTCATTCCCTTCTAGTATCTTCTCAGGAGCAAATGCTACAGATCAGGTATCTAGTCATCATTAGTAACATTGAAAACTCAAACGGACTCCCAAAGAACACACACACACACACATATATATATATGTCTAGGTCCTCTTGTTTACATCCATTCCGGAAAAACCTCAAAAGAATTTTCTCCAAATGGAGAATGACGTGGATTCCAGGCAACCCATCTCTTTGTTAAACTGTGCTCTGTGGAATAGAGTGGTGTCGGAGAGCTCTTTCACATCTTGCAAATTGCCAGATGTCAGTGGGTGATGCACATGATCATGTCAAAGTAATTGATTCCTTTAAAAGGAATACACAAAAGTTAAAATGTTATATTGAGCAATATCTGCTGAAGCTCATGGGGCACAGAGCTTTCTTTCCACCATGAAAGAATGCATTTTCTTTGGAAATATCTATTACCTGGGGGTTGCCATGTAAAATGAGAGTTAACAGTTGTGATATTATCATGCTGTTCTTTAAAGGACATTTTGCTAATATGCAAGGGGGGGAAAGCAAGCCTTACAGCTTTCAATTCCTGGCAACTGCTGTTTAATAGATCTGTGATAATGGATGGAAATGGGTGGGATTATGTTAACTGTAGATGTTTTAGGAGAAAATTGTGAATGAAATATGGTTTAAGAGTGTGTCATGTGAAGATGTTTGAGCCATTTCTATCTATCATGCATTCCTGTCTCATGGCAGAAGAATTTGAAAATTCAAATGAAATAAAATTATGAAAAAATGATGTGTTGTTTTTTTCTGGTTATCTCCACTGAAATTTTCTTGCACACCTGTTTGCTTTGTCCCAGTTTCAGATGCCTCAAATAAGGGTCATTCTAAATGACTAATTTGAGTCTCATAACACTTACAGACCAACCAGTGCCTCCTGAAGATTTCCAACAAGAGTACTCCCCTTTAGGGGTGTACAAAAAAAATAATTTTTATTCCAATGTGGGTCCATTGGACCCAAAAAATATTGGTACTCCAGAATATTCCCAAATTATTATTTATTTATTATTGTATTATATTAATATTCCACCCTCCCTGCAGGATATAAATATAATATTTGGTTTTGTATTCAGGTAAACGGGAAACTCAGATTTATTCAGCTCCATTATACCCTATGGGGACTGTCCCCATAGGGTATAATGGAAAGGGGGTTTAAAGTTTAAATGCTTGCTGCATTGACTTGCTGAGTCATGCCACCTCTGGAAACCCAGGAGATGGTGGTGGCCTAGATGTGGAGTTGTTGCAGAGTGGCCAGGAGGGGGAGGGTAGCTTGGTACCGGTGCTTCGAGCCCTCCAGGACAGGTGGGGCTGCAAGGGGAAGGAGGCAGAAGAAGAAGAGATTGGATCTATACCCCACCCTTCACTCCGAGTCTCAGAGCGGCTTACAATCTCCTTCCCTTCCTCTCCCCACAACAGACACCCTGTGAGGTGGGTAGGGCTGAGAGAGCTCTGAGAGAACTGTGGCTTGCCCAAGGTCACCCAGTAGCTACATGTGGAGGAGCGAGGACTCAAACCCAGTTCTCCCAGGTTAGAGCCCGTGCTCCCAACCACTACACAAAACTGGCAATTGGGAAAGCGGGATTTGACAGGTTTTGGGGGTCATGCTGGAGGAAGGCCAGGAGGTGCAAGCAGTGAAAGAATGGGGTGTCCAGCACCCCGGTAAGGTGCTTTTGCAGGGGGGAGGTGAAAGGGGGGGCTTGCTCATGATGGCAGCGAAAGGGGGGGTTGAGAAATTCAACCCTGGATGTTAAGAGAGGGTGCCCCAGGGCACCTTTTGGATACTCAGTTGGGACTGCAGCACCCTGGGATGGTGGGGTTTGACCCAGGGGAAGGAAGTTATTCACAAGGAAAGCGAGTATGGGGAATTTGGTGGGTGGGGGTCGTGCCAATGGGCCCACCCAACATTGTGGTAGAGGAAGTTCAGGAGGTGTGAGCAGTGAATGAGTGGGGTCTCCAGCACCCCGGGAAGGTGTTTTTGCAGGGCAGCAAAGTTGGGTTTGGGAAGTGGACCCTTGGATGTTAGAGAGTGTGCCCAGGGGCACCTTTTGGATACTCAGTTGGGACTGAAGCACCCTAGGAAGGTGAGGTTTGACTTAGGGGAAAGGGAGTGATCTACAAGGAGAAAGCAGTAGGGGGTCTTGACCAGTGTTCCCTCTAAGCTGAGTGAGCGTGAGCTAGCTCACAGTTTTTTAGCCTCTGGCTCACACATTTTTGTCTTAGCTCAGGAAGGATGGCACCAGAGCAAACTAATTTACGCAGTAGCCAAATCGCTCACTCACAACTTTAATGCCAGTAGCTCACAAAGTAGAATTTTTGCTCACAAGACTCCACAGCTTAGAGGGAACATTGGTCTTGACGGTGGTTGCGGGGGTCATGCCGGAGTCAACTCAGCAGGGATTTTTCTTTTAGAAAAGTCAGGTACTGTAAAATAAAACGTAAGGATTTAATTTCAATTTTAATTTCAATAGCTGGTATTCTCATAGCAAAAAAATTGATAGAGAAGAACCCACCCTCATTGCAATCATGGTATAACCAGATATGGGATCATTTTATTTTAAGTGAAATAACTTTTAAAATATCAAATGCATCTCCAATGAACTATAAGAAATAAATCGTAGCAGTCTGGTTTCCAGTTATGAGATATATGATAGAAAATGATATTTTACCAAAGAATCCCCTGTACCAAGATATGATTTATTTTTAAGTTTCAGCAGAACATATGGTGGTATTTTCTCCACACAATGTAAGTTTACGTCATTGTAATCATTTATCAAACACTGTTTATTAATGTATAACATGGTTTTGTTGGATATTGTAATGTTATAATGTTAAAATCAGAAATTATTAGAAAAAAACCTCAGCAGGGATTTAAAGTTTAAAGTTGACTCACAGAGTCGTCAACTCAGCAAACATTTGAAGTTTAAATACCTGATTCGTTGAGCCTTGAGTCAACTCAGCCTTCGAGCTGCAGCCTAATAAAAGCAGGATAATATTGGCTTTTATTCAGGCATGGCTGTTTCGTTAGCTGAATACAGATCTCTTATCTGTATTCTCAGCTAAATAAATACTCAAAAATACTGATAAAGTGTTTGCGAGGTATTTATTCGACTCAGTATATACCGAGTGCATACACCCTACTCCCCTCACCACTTCAGGAACCCCTTTCCTCATAGTGGGAGCTGTGATTGAAAAGGCCCATGCCTGCTGGGCCTAAGTGAGGAAACAGCTAGTAGGTGGCAACCTGGAGACTGTACACATGAACACATGAAGCTGCCTTATACTGAATCAGACCCTTGGTCCATCAAAGTCAGTATTGTCTACTCAAACCAGCAGTGGTTTTCCAGGGACTCAGGCTGAGGTCTTTCACACACCTCTTACCTGATCCTTTTAACTGGAGATGCCAGGGATTGAACCTGGGATCTTCTGCATGTCAAGCAGCTGCTCTGCCAGTAGTTGGGTCTAGAGGAACAAAGGCAAGGGTCCAGGTCATGGAAGGCTTTAAAGAAGAAGAAGAGGAGGAGGAGATTGGATTTATACCCCGCCCTTCACTACCCAGAGGAGTCTCAGAGTGGATTACAAACTTATTTCCTCTCCCCTCCCCACAACAGACACCCTGTGAGGTAGGTGGGGCTGAGAGAACTCTGACAGAAACTGCTCTTTTTCAAGAACTATCAGAGCTACGGCTTGGCCAAGGTCATCCAGCAGGTGCAAGTGGAGGAGTGGGGAATCAAACCCGGTTATCCCAGATTAGAGTTCGCGCACTTAACCACTACACCAAACTGGCTCTCAGGTCACAGCCAGCCCCTTGAACTGAACTCCTAAGGAAATGGACGGGGGCAGCCAGTGTAGCTTTTTCCAAAAAGGGATGTTCTTGTCTGCTACCCTCTGCTTAATAATTGGGCTAGTGAGGAGGCAAAGCCAGCACATTTGCTTCTCCTGCTCTGTGCGCACTATTGTAAAATCCAATATCATACATACAGGATGAATAAATCTGTGGCTCTGTGCTTATCCAGAGGTTCCTTAACTATGGAAGTGCATGTAAAAGGACTTACAAAAAAAAGGTCCCCAGTTATAGACACAAGGTAACTTTGGGAAAGGTGCTTTTACTGTTTACTGTGCTTTTACTTATGAGGTGATTTTACTGTTTCTACAGACAATGTGGGAATAGGTCAAAAATTAATGGGAGGTTATTTCTTTACTCCTAGTTCAACCCTAGTTCAAATACGTATTCTGCTAATGCAGGAAAAAATAATCTGCTTGAATTATTGGCAAAACATAATGAAATCTACATATCCCACCAATGATTTTCAGCAATTTTAGCCCCTCTCATTCATCTTCGTAAGCCACATCCCCAACTCAGTTCCTACACAGTCTGTACATATTATTTCTAAAGGGTATTGCAATGGGGGGGATAAGTAGTTTATAGCAAGTAATACTAATAACCCTTTTCAGTTTTGTTCTTGCTATGCTTGGGAGAGGTGGCATCTTTCTATGCTGCACTCCCTCAACAGATACAGGGTAGAGGTAGATAAAGACTAGATGTCTCAAGATGGTAGTGATGCACAGTGCACTATTCATTTCACTAATCCCTTTGGTCAGTGAAATGTCTGAAATGAGTCTGACTTCATACAGTGACAAAATGCCATTCATGGGGACTTTCCACTTATTCTGTGCTGGAAACAATCTTACTATCAGGCCCTTGAAGCCAGAAGGGAATTCTCAAGAATTTGTTAATTACTTTCATTCCACATTCTGAATTTTTACCAAACGAGACCAGTTTGTTATAAGTATTTCTTCTGCTGCCAATCCAAAGAAGCAGAATCCAATACTCCCATTATGGCTCCTGATGATCAGTTGAGTTTGACTCCCCACCCTTTTGCTGCCCATCTCCCTGCTGGAGTTCAGTAATGTGTACTGCTCACCTTGAGGCCAGGTTTATTTTGTATTCTTCCACTCTCATATCAGGAAAGTTTTAAATTAGTAAGGCACTTTCCACTTGGCTGGAAAGCTTCAGCCAACATATGTAGTCCATACTTAGGTAGCTGGATAAAGAAAGATCCTACCTGGGGTTATAACATGGGTGAACCTGAATAGCTTAGAGCAGTTCAAAGCTGTGTCCAGACAGCCTTCCCCTGAAGAGAAATGAGAGCTAAATCATGGCTTCTGGGAGCCTTATGAAACTGTAGCAAAAGAACAATTGACCCCTCCAATATTTTGAGCACTAAAGAAAGTTTATTTCTTCTTCCATCCTTCCTTCTGCACAATGCCCAGAAGCAGTGGAAGAGGCAGCACAAGTCACTTGAGCTTTCTAAATCAACATTTCTTTAGAATGTTCCACACACCACTTGGAATATTGACCACTGTGACTTTGGCATTCACTTGGTTTCACCAAGTGACTAGCCTGCAACTCTAAAATCAATCAAATGAGGTGACCTTTAAAAATGGAGAAAGCAGATAACTGAAATGAGCCTCGTGCATTTTGAATGTAGAATTCTCCTTCAAGGACAGCTGTAAAAATATCTATGTGAATAACAAGTACCATCATGTTGCAACCAGTTTACAGTGACACCTCATGGGGTTTTGAAGGCAAGAGATAAGCAGAGGTGATTTGCCCTTGCCTCCCACCGCATATTTACCCTGGTCTTCCTTGGTGGTCTCCCATCCAAGTGTTAACCGTGGCCAACC